GGCCGGGCTTGCATATCACAGAGACCCAATGAGCTATGCTGGTGGAATGCTTGTTCCCTAAAGGTCCTACCACACCAGTAATCTCTCTTAGGTAGTGGTTAGACGGAAGGAAGTTATCATCATAGTATCAAATAGTACACCATGATGGAGATCTGAGGGTAAAGTCGTACTGCTGACTGGACGGGGGTGCGGTAGCAGTAACGTGTTTCCCTATGGAAAGCATGGGCCTTAGAAAGGTTGACCCTAAAAATAGCATACTCCCATCATCCTGCGATATACAGACGCCAGCGACAAGGATTCATAGTCTGATTGGAAAGCAAAAAACGAAAAGCTCGAACTTCCAAAAATGTCGTATGTGATTGGCCTCAAGCAGATATCCTTCGTAGAGTGGGCAGCCAGGAAGTGTTTTCTGTGCCCACAACACTGACAGTATCCAAATTCTGTCACGTCGCTGTCCACATTCTTACATTCTAGTCCTCATTTACGTCTCTGGGTCGATAATCCTACATCATCTTTTATTTCTTTCAGCTATACAGCTCTTGGCAACGATCTGAGTTCACAGAGCAGTATCCTTGGTCTTTTGAAACTGCACTCCAATTTACACATTGGAGCTTTCAATGTCCGCATCCCTCGTCAGATCCACCAGCAATCTTCACCAGCTAAAATTAGTAAATCAGGTCATGGATGTGTGCTGTGTTTGTGAGACATGCATATATGACCTAAGCACTGTTATTCACTCAGCTTCACCCGGCCAATATGGGGAATCAGCGAACTTCACCCTTCGAGTTTCTGGAGATTCGTTGGTCACTTCTCGTCTTACAGGTGTAGGTATGGCATTGAGCAGTAAGATAGGAAGTGCACTACTCTACTGGATCCCAGTCGATAATCGCCTATTCGTCATTTGACTGAACAGCACATAGAGGACAAAAAGGAAAAGTAGAACTCGCTGTTATCTCTTTCTAACTTAAGCTTACACATCTACTGACTGCAGTTCGGATGAAGTGAAGAACGAGTGGCACCGAAAGCTATCTAGCCTCCTTCTGAAAGCCAAACGTTCTAACGTGGTTGTCGTTGCAGGTGATTACTTTGCGCAGGTGGGTAAGCTGAGTCAAGCAGAAAGGCACTTAGGTGGTACTTTCGGAATCTCGACTGAGTGAACAGACAACGGTGATCGCCTACTACAACTGTGCTCAGTTAACCGTTCATTTTCAGCCAATGCAAACTTTAGACGTAAAGGAAGACATTGTCTGACGTGGCGTCCACCGAACTGAACTTAGCGATGGACACAGATAGACCACATTGCTATTAGTTATCACTGAAGACAGACTGTAGGAGACTGCCACTCCTTCTAGAGAACGTGTTCGGATAGCGACCAGGTGTTGGTGCGAGCGCACATATGTATGCATCTCAATGGACGTAAAAGAAACTTTAGCAACAAGATCATTATGAGTCCAGCTCGACAATGAGTGCACTAAGGCCGTTTTCAGTGTGCAGCTCACTTGACAGTTATCGGAACTGAACGATATCACTCATCCGTAAGAAGTTTTTCGCCATGTCTTATCTGCTTTAAAAACAACGATAAAGACTGTAGTCGACTGTCATAGTAATTAGAGAGGGCCTGTGGATTTCAGCCGCTTCCTCTGAACCAATAGATGCACACCAGCGCATACTTGCAGTTTCCGAGTACATTGAATAGCAAATGTAACTTAAACTTTGACTGACAAAATGTCCACGCAATGACTGTGAACAGTGAGCGGTGAAGGCTAATGAGATGGAAAAGGCAGTGTTGATATATATTTAGACTTACCAAGGAAACTGGAGTAAAAGGTCAATAATTAGTGAAGCTATAGTAAAGAAGTATGGGTCTGTGATTCAATCGTAAAGAAGACTATTTGAACGATTGGTAGAACACTTGGAGGGACAGTTCAATGGCCTCCACCTATTATCCTGTGACCCGATGTCGAGTTGGAGTCTGAATGGAACATCGAAATAAGGCTTTGAACACTTACAGAAGTCCACAAGTGGTAGGTAACCTGAAATGAGGAGGAGCGGCAAGGTACTATAATCATTAGACTTCTGAGTAAAGCTCGGGAAGAGGAAACCCGGGAAAACCAGGCAGGTTTCAGACCTGGCCGTGGGTGTGTTGACCAGATATTCACTCTCCGTCAGGTTCTGGAACACAAACACACTTAACGACGCTTGACACTAGCTGTATTTCGCTACCTAAAGGCAACATTCGGCTGCCTCGATCGAGGAGTCTTATGAAAGTGTCTTTCACTGAAAGGGGTACTGGGCAAGTACATCACTCTGTTGGAGAGTGTTTGCTCGAATATCCGTTGGCGTGTCAGAACCTACAGTGAATTGTCAGGTGAGCTGTGTGCATCGGGTGTTTTCTTTTGAGAATATCCATTCTCTGTTCTTATTCAATTTTATCGTAGACGTACTTATAGGGTGTTCCTCTCACCATCTGACTTTACAGGGATTGATCTAATCGTGGAAGAATGTTTAGTACGTCTAGAATACGGAGATGACATTCTCCTTTTAGTTGAAGACTCTGACTAGATGCTGAGTCTTCTGTACACATTGAGTGGCAATTCGGGAATGTTGGGGTGGATTTCTAGTTATCCAAACGCAAATTGTTGCTCCAGGACTGGTCTCGTGCCATGCCCCGTCTAACACTAGGGAGTAGAGTGGTTTTGTGAGTCAACCACCTCATTCACTTGTGAGGTAGGACCAGCCTTGGTGGGTCAGTGACCGACGAAATCTCTACACGGATGCAAAAAGCTTGACTGACTTTCGCCAACTTACGCCATATTTTGGTGCCACCATGGTATCCTATTGTCTCTCGAAGGTCGAGTGTACTGTACTGCAGTTCACTCTGTTCTACAGTATGACTGTGAAACATAGCCATTAAAGGTAGATGATATGAGGAGGATTCAGATGTTTGATTTTATAACGTAGTTCACGTGTCTTGGTGCCACTAAATCAGTAACGTAGAAGTCAGGCTTAGAGTTTTGAGGAGTAGAGGAAAGTCAGTCAGTCAGTTGTAAACCTTCATCGGCTGAGGTTACTGCGATGCGTTATGCATGTCTAATAACCATCTGCCTTGTCATGCAATGAAGCAAGTCCAGGTTAGAAAATTTTCGGGGCGGTCAGACTGAAACACATCACCAGTGGATGAATTCCCCTGACTGTTAGTCGGAGCCATGCATGGAGATGTTCATTATCCAGTTGGTGTTCACTTGGTTGGAAAGTCTAGGTGATATTTCTCAGAATCGATGTCCTCGGCGCAGATATATCCACACTTTATCTTCATCTTAGCTGCCACACTGAATTCACCATTTTCTCCTTCCTCTGTTGCTACTCTTCACTGCTCATGATCGATTTTCCTTTCTTTCTTCATCTTTCCTCGTATTAGATTGTTACTTGATGTGCTGATATGATGGGTGGCAACTTGGACCGTTACGCAGCACTACCTAGTCGTACGTTGATGTTGTTGATGATTGGTTTTCTCACAGTCATTCGTGACGACCTAAATGTATGCATCCATTCATATCATCACCTTGAACTCAATAATTAAAGTAACATTCAATTTCGTATTGTTCTTTCTGTGTGCATGCATAAAAGTGTTGTCTGGTTTTTTCCACGTACTACTTAAACATGCGATAACTTGTATGGGTTTTATTCTCGGGGAAAGTGACATCTATGGGGTCCGAAAACTTCAGGAAGTTACCCTTCTACATTCTTTAGGATTTTACTGCTACTTCCTGTTCTACCTTACTATGGAGTCCAACAGCTAAAAGTAACCCTTTGTAAACAAGATTTCTTATAAGCTAACCAGTTAGTTGCTTGTATGTACAGGAAAGTTGCTTTTTAGGTGTCAATTATCAAGTCTAGTGCAAATTCACTGCTGGCTTGCAGCTACTACCTTTAAAATGATGCCGAATTCGGGTTGTATTTAATACGGTGTTTGTACCATGGCATTATCCTACACTGAACCACAGCGGACATAGATAGGCTTTTAAGCATCACTAAGTAGGGTTAGTAGATTATCTTTTTTTAGAGTGCATTGTGGGGGGCTGCAGTCGTGCGTGAATTCAAACATGCGTGTATGTGTACTTGAATAGGTGGAAAAAATGCAATTAAAAATGGTACTTTTGCGTGACTTGAGTAAGAGGAGATAATTAGGAATTTATGGAGCATGACATCATTTATCTTTTTCATGTAGTCGCATTCAGTTTGCTGTGAAAGCAGTCAATAATATAAAGCCGGTAGCTATTAGAAATCACTAGATTTTGACGCCATTTTCTAAAGAAACTCAAACCGTCTTATAAAGTTCTAAAGTTATATAAATTTTTAGGTAGGTGGGAAATGTTTTACTCCTAACAAATCACTATTAGTTCGGTGCTGATTGTATCACAGAGTAGAAAAGTTGATAAAAACTTAGCAGTAGTTAGAATTTCAAATGGTTCTGTCAGTTGCTAACTGGTTGTTATCCTTGTAGGGAAACGTAGGCTACCTGGCTAGGGTTACAGTCATATAATGACAACCAACAACTATAAAAATAGTGCCATGTATCTATTCTGTTTCATAAAAGTGGATGACAGTCATCATTCATTAGGTTTCATTCCTCGTGTTATTCACGTTTGATGTTATACTTGTCTATGTTCGTTGATATTCTTTCCCGTATGCTACACTTAGTTTTGACACCTTTTTCTACCGAGTTCTACTTTTTTTTTGTTTGTCTTTCGATAATGTTGATTTTGTAGCTGGTGTTTATCGGCTTAGACAATTGACTTTATTTTCATCACTTCAGAGGAAAAATAAGTGGGTGCCACACACTATTTTGGTCATTGCTTTTACTACATGAGTCCTTACTTGTTTACTGAGTAGTGGCTTACACTATCGTTTGATATTTAAATGCTACTGAGGATACCTATTCGTCCATGTATATATATCCTTTAAGATTTCATAACTAAGACTCAAGTAATGTGTTTCAGGGTGTCAAGTTTATGTACGACTGTGTTACCGGTGTACAAATACCCGAAAATCATGGATGCATAATGGCGGATGAAATGGGTCTTGGCAAAACATTACAATGTATCACACTTATCTGGACTTTGTTGGTATGTTCCTGTGTTTGTATTGTTATAAACCATGAGTAAATAATGTTCTGGTAGGATTACTCCGTATAAAAGTGTCGTTAATCACCTCGTAAGTCACTTAGTTGACCTACTGGGTGTGCTGTAAGATTCCAGCTAAAAGCCTTTTAAAACAATAAGCAATTTAAGTCACTGAGAGTGATATTAAGGTGTCTGTATATAATATGACAAGGAATTAAGACAGGTATGTATGACAGGAATGAACTGACAAAAATTCTTCATTCTATAAAAGGAGTATGTCTTGTCACTCGAAGAGGAAGCGTAGAAAACTAAAGTTTACTGCAAATAGTTAATACTCTGTCTTTATAATGATAATGGTAACAGTTATGGGCTGTCTATTTCATAATGATCGGAAAAGAAGCCTACTAAGATAGTCAAAAGACGTGAAGTATTCAGCGAAGGCATATTTCTTTTTCATGAGCTATTTCTACTATTCATTTTAACAACGAACAAACACTTAAGTGTATTATTCGCTGGTAAATGAACATTAGGTCATGAAAGAGAACGCCCTAAGATGAAATAGTTGTATCTATGGTTAGAAGGAGATTACTTAATCATAGGAAAATACGCAGTCAATCGCTGTAATGACCAATGTATTTAAAAATAATCATACTAATTCTAGTCAATGATCGGAGTAGAGTATTATAAAAATTTTAATTGGAGAATTGGTACTAACATGTTAGGACATAGGAAAATAAACTATAAAGTAAAAAAATGAAAAATAATCAATCAATAAGGCTAAAATGAACATTGAAGCAATAAAGAAACTCAATGTGAAGAGCTGAATTAAATCAACTTTGGATTGCCTATGGTTAAAGGAACTCTAGCAGTTACATTGTAGTGTTCGCATTTTATGTTACACTTGAAATTTATAAAACTTAGTCAAGTAGAGATCTTATCCGTTTTGGTCTGATCTTTACATTAACTTGCAGTAGTAAGCGGAATGCTAACATGTATTGATACCACTTACATAGTTGTGCATAATATAAACTTATATTTATCTTAAACACAGGTCCATTTACCTTGATTTGTAACTGGAGGGCGGGAACTTCGTTTTATCCTATCCTATTTCCTGCCTGAATTCTATCGATTATTTTACAATTTGCCCACCAGGCTATGAGACTTACCATAGCGATACACTGAGATAGATGTTAGCTGAATGTAGGCAATCGACAAGAATTTCTGCCGACTGGTCAGTTTACTTGTATATGCAGTTACATACACACTGTGTCTAAAGTGTTGTGTACAACGTAAAACATGAATGATCAGAGCATTCTATAATGGAGACTACACAGTGTAAAGTATACAAAGGTGTAATTTCTTAGGCAATTAAAAAACAGAAAGAGCAGACGGTTGGTGAAGAATGATATTATTTTGGATCTGAGAGCGTGATACAGTTCCATATACTACATTCAGGCACACACAAGGACTCGACCCCCGGACACTTGAGTTTGTTACCCAGCCCAACTCCTAGCAACTAAGTAAAAGATGAAGCAGAAAAAGATTAAAAAGCGCGTTCATTATCCGTCCGAATTGATAATGATCAAGATGATTATTCATATGAATATACGTTTTTATTGGGTAATCTTGCATATCAGCCATCCAGAATGTGAGTTTATGGAGACAGATTTAGAATTTTGAGGTTGTACAAATTTCTCAGATGGTGTGATGGAAAATATGTAGTTTTCTGGTTTTGAGGTAAATTTTTGAGAAATAGAGGTATTTACATTGGTAGAGTTTGTCCATTTTGGTAAGGCATGACTCTGTTATTGTTCCTTTATTATATATTTCACTATTTGATACACACAACAAAAGTACTGTGATGAAATAGTGATGTTTTTCCACACCTGTATCCAGTATTATTTGTACTTTTGTAACCGACAGTTGAATTACTGTGGTTTGACAGTCCTACTTTTCTGACCGGATTCATCGCCTTGATTATAATACTATTCCTGACCTCAGGTGCTGTGGTTCTTATTTTTGCTGAGGATTTCATTCAGGATTTATAGGGGTAGTTGTCCGAGAGTTTCCTCTTAGTTATGTGGAATCATAGCAGATTAATGTTTTGGGTCCAAATATCTGTCGGAACCATAGCGTCGTACAGGGATTACACCTGATATCTTGTGGTCTTCCTAAGTATCTGTGGCACTAGTCTCTGGCGTACGCAGCGTTGCTAGGAGGAAAGTTACTTGTGAGTGATCTGTTGGTGTAAACAGATTAAACATGATGCGAAGTTTTTCGATCGATAAGGCATTCTTGTAGGGAAATTCTTCTTGTGTTACTTGGTTCAACGTTATCGTGTTAAGCACTAAGAAGTTTTCAATAATGGTATCAAGCATCCTTTTAGCTGAAGCTCTTGAAGGTAACCACGAAACCTTTTACTTAGTCATTTAGTTGTGGTCGGTATAGTTGAATACGTATATATGCGATGTTATTTTTCGGGCAGAAGTCTTGGAATTAGGCTGTTTTTGTAGTACAAGCCGTTGTCGAAAAGGAGCTTTTCAATAAGTTTATAATGTTTGCAGTAAAATTGTGACTCTTCAATCATTGGGATACATGTGGCAAGTACTAATGTAATGGTTTCAGGTCATTTGGATATTGCATCAAACAGAATTGAAGAAACTAACATTTACTGTACCATCAAAGTCTATTTATAGATGTATTCATAGTTTTCCTGACTGTAAGCATTCCTATGGGTCGATTCGTCCAAGTAGTTTGGTTGCTCGATATCAGCAAGTGGATTTTCGAACTAGATCTTCAGTCTCTTGGTCTATTCCATGCCATAATACGTACATGAGAGTGTTGACTTTAATTCGCTCAATCTTCCAGGTAACCTGAATTACTCGACTGCCAGCTAAAGGGACAAAATAATCTAGCGACCTGAAAACAATTTGTGAGTGGATGATGGAAGACGTGCCTCAACGTTGGCAAACTTTTGTTGGTTTGCCACTTGGTGGTCTTGTTGGCCTTCGGTCATCCATGTAACTGTTGCTTTTGTTACCTTTTGTTGTGCAGCTTATTGGTTGATAAGCAGGCGGGATAAGACACAAACTTGACGAAAATTTAGAATGTTTCTGTAATGTATATTGAAGTCGTGGCTTTATGTCGTACGTTTTTGTGGTCTGCCTGCTGAATTTTTGAGATCTTTTTTTGAGCCAAAAATGTTCAGTATATGTTTGGGATCTGTTTGAAAACAGATATGGTTATCATGCAGTATTATTTTATGGGACTACCTTACTGCATATACTAGCACAAACACTTCTTTTTCTATTTGGGCTTATTTCTCTGTGGTTGTGAGCGTTTTTGGAAACACGCATGACTGGTTTATCCAAATCGTCAGGAAATTAATGGAGGATAACTAATGTCTACTTCATTGCTTGAGGCTTCGTTAGCGATGAAAATAGGGAGCTTCGGATCGGAGTGTATCAATAAAAGATAAAAATTTGTCATTTAGTGGATTTAGTGAAAAGCCTCTGACAATCAGGAGACCAAATGTGTAACACGCAGACTTTTCATGGTTGGTTCTGTGGCCATCTTCATCCTAGATGAATTTCAAATACATTATCGACCGCAGATAGAATTAGCATGTAACTGAAATCTATAATACCCAATGTGGTATGAGACACTGCTGATCTTCTACTTAATTCTGCTTTATATCGACCCACTATAATGTAATCTCGATATTGTGTAGCTCTCAGAGATATCCAATACCAAGATATCCATTGTCTATTGAATTATGGCTCGAGAAATCCGCCTATAAATGGTAATTAGATGATCTGGAAAGATCGTTATGTATATTTTTATCAGGACCCCAAATTGGATATTTGCGTCAACTAAATCTGATTCTGGGAGTGTAGTGAAACAGTCTTCAGTAAGTGGTGGATAACCGTGACTTAAGAAATCTGCTAAAATGTGTACTGCACTAATAGCTTTCTTAAATATCACAGTTTGGAGTTGCCCAAATAGAGTACGATACCGAAGAAGAAATAGTAGCATCTTAAAAGGTTCTTATTTCTGGTTGAATAATGGATATGGTTAGGTAGGGCACTGAGATTATAGGAAGAAATACTGAAACACCTCCAGGTTTCAAATGTATGTTTGCTTGGAAAAATGTGTTGAATCCATGTAGTTGTTTCAGAAATGTTATTTTGTATCTTCACTTGGTTGCAGATAAAATCCAAGGGAGAGAAGATAGTCTTCACTTAACAGTCCAATATGGACCAAGCAGGCTAATGTTCGAGTCACATACGTATCAGAAAGGCTGACAATATCAACATATGACGTGGCATTATTATTTAGGGGTCCAAGTTGCCACACCTTATATCAACAGATATGTATCAGAATTTATTGATGCTTTTATCATTCATTATGACAGAACATTCGGACTGCCTTTGAAGGCTCACAAGTGCGTGTTGATACCTCAGATTTTTTTACCAGATTGACGGAATCAACTTACAATTTGACACAGAAGTGCATTGCTTCATAGTAGCATGCAAGCAGTAAGTGGGTAGAGAAAAGTGGTATCACGTTAGAAAAAAGGTGTATGGGAGGAAAGCAAATTCGAAAACAAGGTTGGTGAAAGTATTCAAGCATTGAAAGAAGTTAAAGTGTAAACAACTCTACGCCATAGTTACTGGTTTTCGGCCATGTCATCGAGGGTCTCCAATCATAGATTCCTGTCGTTTCGAGGACCCCAGTAAAACAGTTTACACCTCCATATATAGCTTAGATCATCAGTCACGGACTTCATGAACTGGTGCCAAGTCTCAGTCTGGTCACCCTGGGTCTTTTTTTGACCCACTCCAACTTCGTCTATAATGAACTTAAACAGGAATGCTGGCAGCAGATGTCTTTGGCGGAGACCACTGGTTGTCATCTATTCAGATGACAACTCTCCCTGGGCGCTTAAATAACTGCGTGACTTTCAGTACAGACCTTCGATTAGCACAATATGGTTGCTCGGTACTACCTTCACAGCCAAACACTGCCGTGATACTCACCGGTTGATAGAAGGAAACTCCACCTTCAGGTCAAGAAATGTGATAGATGTCTGGTGCCGATTTGTATGGTTGTTGGCGGATAAAGATCTCGATTATGCACCCTTGTTTGGGTCTGAAACCTATCTGATACTTTCAAGTTCGTTGTTCTCGAGCTGCGATTAAAGTCTCATAACTATCAACCTTAAGATATTGAACACGATGCTAGTTAAAATGATCGTACCACAGTTGTCACACAAACTAGAATGATCAGTGAAGTAGACCAATTAACAGTGATACTTCTGATTTCCATACACACCACGTAATATCTCCGTTACATCTACTCAATAGCTTCCGACCGCCAACCTTAAAAACTTTGGGTGACAAACCGTCAAATGCTGCTGCTTCCCATTGTTTCAGGTTTTAAACAACTTATAGAAAAGTTGGAGGCCAACATCTGTATCCCGATTAGTTATGGTCTAAATAGCGGGTAACTGTAATCTGTGATAAAGCGTGCAAACGAACTAAAATAACTTTGGTGCATCTGTAGTTTTCAATACTTGCATGCTGAAATGTTCATTAAATCATTACAAAAATGTATGCGATGGTTCAGTTTTGGAAGTGTTTCGTTATGCTTTTGACAGAATCATAGGTAGGGTAGCCTACGTTAAAGTAGTCTTCACACTGCCTGTCATCTACTTTTCACTTCTCAGAAGTTAACTAGTCCTGGTGTTCATTTTCTAATTCCATGTTACTTACGAATATTGTAGAATATGTTTGATGTATCAGTGAACTCATTGATATCGTGTTTTGTTTTTCATATTTTGTTTAGCGCCAAGGCCCTGAAGGTAAACCAACAATCGACAAAGCAGTTGTAGTTACACCTAGTAGTTTGCTTAGAAATTGTACAATGAATTTCAGAAATGGTTGCAGGGCAAGATAAATCCTTTAGCTATTGATTCTGGAAGCAAGGAAGAAATTGATAATAAATTAGGTAAGATGATTGTACTTCAGTGCCACAGATATAAAAAGTAATTGAGCAAATATTTGTATGTTCTTACGCTAAAAAGTAAATTGAATCGATTCTATGGCAGTCAGACACTTTTCTTGGCCAAACTTATTCGGTTGAGCTCAACAATAAATGTAGTAGTTCAATGTTTCAAGCTCTAGGTCAATATAGTAATAATGGATAGTAGCTAGCAGTGGAATCCAGGATGTGCGTACTTCGTTCTATTTAGGATTCGTCAGCTGGATGTACCTGCTTCTCGGTGAGTGATGTTGTTCCCACCGGGATTCGGACTCGGAAGCACAGGTAATATCGAGGCATCCGTACAGGAGCCCATATACGAATAGGGACCGATCAATTCAGTCCAATGAACGACGGGGTGATATAAAAACAACTATACTATAGGTCAATATATTTAGCGACAATTAAACTAATGTAGTTTTAGAAAATGCTTCACTTCAAGAAATTTTTTTTCTGTCTATGTTTTCGAATTTCGTGATTTGAATTTATTCTTTGTTCCTTTGATTTGATTTTTTTCCGTTGCCTTATTATGAGGTATAATGGTTGGTTATAGCTCTAGTAGGATGTATTTTGTTTCTATAAATTTATATTTGCATCGAAATATTGAATCCTGGATCATTAAACTTATTTCTACCTACATGTGATCCTTGTTCTAATAATAATAATTGTTATTATTGTTCTTTTTGCATTCATTTTATAGCTTGTTTTCTTTCACAAACTGGTAGGAGGATTCCATCACCGGTTTTAATTATCTCTTATGAAACTTTTCGATTGCATACATCTATCTTACACAAGGGTTCTGTTGGTCTTATCCTTTGTGATGAGGTAGTTTGATTGTTGTGCAATCCATACTTATTGTATAATGCTTACACTTTACAAATTTGTAATGATCTTAATAATTTATAGTAAAAGATTTAAACTTATTAAGTTGACTTGATTGTCATTCTCGTTTTGTGTATGTTACATTCAAACATATCTGGCTAATAATCCCCGTGTTTATGACTAATGGATTCGAAAAAATCCTAGATTCCGTCTACATCTTTCATTGTTAATTTCCCAAAGGGCAGTTAATAAGTATTTTTCTTGTATTGTGCTGCCGTTCTGAGCTGTCACTGATGATTGTGATGATATTCTATTTCCAAGGCTATTACAAAGACTCTGATTTATTAGTGTTAGACACTTTGCTGCATCGTGATATTATAACTGCATATGAGGAAATAGAACGATTGTGCAGATAACCTTAATAACCTTATATCGTCCACCTGTTTGAGGCTGTCGGTGAAAATTCAATGGGATTTTGAACGACAGTATTTCAAGAAAGTGTGAATATTGAATGCTGAGTTGGTCAGTAATCGCGTTATCAAAGAAAGTAATTATTAGTGTCTTAGGAAAGTTGATGTAGGTTTCTATGCCGTAAAGTTAATATCTCAAAATCCACATCCATAATCAATAGTCGACCTTATAGTTCTCACAAATCGGCGAATCGATAGCGACTACCATACACCGATTTTCTGTGTCCTTTAGTGTTTTTAGCGATGTCTAGGCAAAATATGCACCCCACATTTATACAACACTGAAAAGTAAGTTATAAAAGTCTATATGATATCTCACAGTCACCACATAATAGTTGTCTACAGTTAGTCATTGTGCATCTCAATGGCAACTCATGATTTCATTAGATAGTTTTATCCGTGATACGCTAGGTCAGCATTAAACAAATGTCGTGCTGTGCTATTTTGTGATGCAGGTTGGAGTATGAACTAGTTATTAATATGTAAGTTTGTCTCTACCAGACCTGAATACATGGTGTTTGGCCATTACTATTGTTAAGAGCCTCTTTGCTGCTGATCAGTTTCATGTGAGAAAGAAAATAGCTATCTGGTATCAAATCGACTCGAAAAACGTATCTACAGATTTCACCACTGAGCTTGAATTTTTATAGTGAACGGGTTTTAACGATAAAAATCCAATTTTCAACAACTGCTTTTTTCCAATAGGGGCATCGTTTAAAGAATTCTGAGAATCAAACGTATCAAGCATTGGTTAAATTAAATTGCCCACGTCGCGTACTACTTTCTGGGACTCCAATTCAAAATGATTTGCTTGAATACTTCAGCTTAGTGCACTTTGTTAATATGGGACTATTGGGCACAGCTAATGACTTTAGACGCCGTTATGAAATACCGATTTTACGTGGACGTGATGCTGATGCTACTGATGAAGACCAGAAGAAAGGTGAAGAAATATTACAAGAGGTAAAGTTCCATCATTTAATTTTCATTAATACCTGCTTTGTACTTTCCTTTGGCTAAAGAAGGCTATAATTTCGTAAATCATAGTTCTAAATGAATATGTTGCACCAAATATTTTGGACAGATGTTGTGAACGTACAACTAAACTACTGATGTTGCTGATATTTAATTTCTTCCATTTGGGTTTTATACAATGTGCTTAGTTTTTCTTAGCGGTCTGCTTGACAGAATCTATGAAAATAGTATCTAGGTCTTTATCGAAGGTACGTGCTCCACTTACTTCAGTTTGGGCAACCGGGTAGAATCATATAGACCCTCATACAACAAATATGACCCTTGGCCTAGTACGTAAACATGTATCAGGTGGAGTTGGATTATTTTACTTACTGAAGGAAAATCACTGCGCAGAGACAATCATTCTCTATCTTTATTTTGATATCTCACCCCTTCTGTTGGTTTCTTGACTGTAAATGTTGTCCATTGTGGTTGGTTAAACCCTAAATACACTTCATTGGAGCTGTGAATCAGTGAACTATTGTGTCACGGGTCCTAACCCCATTCTGCTTACGGAGGTTTGGGCGGCCAGGCAGAATGATTAACCCTCCCACAATAGGTGTGGCTCAGTGCTTAATGTGCGGATGTGAACAAAGTGGCTGAGTGTGTTATTATTTGTTTCATCCATACACTTCAAATCCGTAGACATAGGGCGAAGAAAATGTGGGTTGCAAATTTGTTTTACTACTGTTTATATCTGGTTGATTTTCTAATTGCATACCGTTTTGAGGTGGTTGAAGCTTAAACTATCTTATCACTCTGTTACTGCCTACTCTGTTCAATTCACCTACACTTGTTAGGCACATTGTGATTCTCTATTCAGAGTCAGTAAAAACACCCGAACTTTCATATCATCTGATGAACGAATCAATAATATTTTCTTTGATTGAAAAAAATAAGTGTTCCCACTCATGCATCACCTAACCTCAGACACATAATCTACAATAACCTTCCTTTTAGTTCTCTTATCTGAAAAAGGAAGATATGACTTTTAAGCACGTGTATTTGATCTAATATTATGGTTTATGACCGCTTAAACCTATTTGTTTTGCAGCCCTTTCTAAATATTTACGCGTTTTATTACTATTGTCTTCTTACTATCAAAATAAAAGCTTTTAGGCATTGTGACGCGGTGTATCATTCGTCGAACTCAAGCTATACTGACAAAATATCTGCCGGTGAAAAGTATGTTTTCCTAATATTTAACTATAACTTTTTAAGATAATTTAGATGTATATATATAGTGTTGTTTGTCATGTTTTATTGTATGCCATTTTTAGATTTTTAGTGTATTTATTTAGACTCGTTGCATGAACTGATTGCCCGGTTTAATCGTATAAACGCGTTGAATAGGGTGATTAGTGCTTCGAATTGTCATTTGAGCGGTAAACTTAATGCTAATGTTTCATCACAGGACAAAAATGATTCAGTTAGTTAAACCGGTATGTGATCATTTGTATTGGATGTATTTAAGTCACTGAAAGAAAACAATAATATTTCACTTGTTGAGCGAATTATGTAGAACAGGAATGACAGCCCTCAACTATCTAACTTTGGATTTATTCCACCACTATCTCCTGTCGAGTCACAATCATACAATGTTACGCCACGCACCTACAAATAATGCAGAGCAAGAGAAAAAGGAGGAATTCTACAGACAACTGCAATCAACACTGGACAAGACCCCATCCCAGTTGGCGACATCAAAATTCTAATGGGTAGCGTGACATGAATGCCAAACTCGGATCGGACAACACAGGAAGAGAACTAACCATGGGTCGAGAAGTGCTCGGTGAGGTGATGAAAGAGAAGGGAGAATTGTTTGCAGAATTCTGTGCATTCAACGATTTCGTGATTCGAGTGGGGTAGTGCATTCAAGCACAAGGATATCCACAAAGCGACATGGATTTGATTTCACCAGACACCACGACACACTAAAAATCAAATCGACTTAATCTCAATGTGAAGAAAGTGGAGACGCAGTCTACTTGACACAAGATCAAGAAGAGGAGCAGATGTAGGTTCACACCACTCACTTCACTATCTAGTGCAAGGAACCTGACTTCAAAATCAAGTTGAAAGCCTTCAAGGAAGCTGGTGATAGACCACAGTTCAAGTACAACACTCGGAACAGAAACAGAAGGACGAAACTACAAAGGAAATCTTCACGGCAGCCAGCCATCAAGACAAAATGGGAGATATCGAGCAACATCCCTGAAGAAGCAAACCTCCGTGGAAGAACACTGGAAGTCTTTGAAAGAGATGTGGAAAGAAACCTGCACAGCCGTATTAGGAAGCAAGAAGAAAGAAGATAAGGAATGGATCCCGATGGACACATGGAAGCTGATAGATCAGGGAGAGGAGGATGGTGAAGCAGAAGATCAACCAGTGGAGTGCAAGAATGAACAACGAGAAGAGGAACTGAGTACAACCTATAAAACACTAAACTGGACAAAGAAGTGAAGAAGAGTGCACGCAAAGACAAAAGACACTTCCACGACACACTGGCAAGTGAAGCAGAACGGACCGGAGGTAGGAGAGACAGAGATCAGACAACATTGTATCAAATAACCAGGCTACTTACTATCTGGGAGGGAAGAGATCAACACAGATGAAACCAATAAAAGATGAAGAAGGAAATCTAATTACCAAAGATGAGAAACAAGGGAAACGATGAGTTGACCACTTCGAAAAGCTCTTGAATCGACCACCACCACCACCACCTGCACTAACTAACAAGTTGACCTAGGAGGCGAGGCAGCGAAGACAGGACTTCAAGTAAATGTAGAGAAAACAGAAGTGATGAAGTTACTACACCAACAACTTCAACAACAACAACAACAAAATCCAATCACCATCAATGGGAGAAACTTAAAGGAGGTAGCCCCTTTCACCTATCTAGGCAGCACTGTCTCAACTACAGGCGGCACAGACACTTAAGGATGTCCTAGCCAGGATCGGAAAAGCAAGACAGGCGTTCATTAACCTGAAACCAGTGTGGAGATCCTCTGCACTGAGCATGTGGAACAAGATTGGGATTTTCAACACCAACGTCAAGTCAGTGCTCCTGTATAGTTCAGAAACTTGGCGTGCTAAGAAAAACATTTTCAACAAACTACAGACATTCATCAACAACTGTCTACGCTGGCTCATTACTGAAGCTGAGATGACCAGAAAGAATAAGCAACGTGGAACTCTGGCTGGCTGGCAACGAACCAACCAAGAACCTATCACTCAACAAATATGCATTGGAAGGAAGTGGAGATGGATTGGGCATACACTGAGAAGGCCGAGTGGGGACACCATGCGCCAGGCCAGGCTGTCGAGCGGAAGCCAGATGGAAACAACGAGTTGGGCGTCCGAGGCGAGGGTGACATGGAGGAGTGAGTTTTCTCATTCATGTAGAAGCAGTCAGCGAGATTAAAGAAAGGATGTCATTGGCTTTATTAAGTGTCACCATACTGTGAACGCAATTTTCCACTTGTGAAACAATGAGAAATTGTTTGTTAACTATAACAGTTCTTGAATTCTATATTTACTCGTGTGTATGCCGAATATGCTACGCGCGTGAACGTGTGTTCAGTTAATTACCTAGTTAAAATCAATAGGATGCTTTATATCTTGAAAATTCTTTGGAGATGTAGATTATATCCACACCCTTGTTCGATCCATAGAGTAAAGTTGATCTATTTTTTCTCTTTTCAGTTGAACAAGTAGTCTGCTGCAATTTGGTACCAGGTCAGCGCGAAGTATATACAGACTTTGTAAAACGAATGGCACGTGAAGTGTCTTTGAAAATGAATTCAGACGAGTCAAATCAACGCAGTGATAAATTATCAATGTCAAGCTTAGCATCAATAACACATTTAAAGAAGTTATGCAATCGTAAGTTTAAGAAATCTACTATTCAGTCATTATAATTATATGATAAACAGTCCTTTTAAGTTATCTACGGTGAATAAGTTAGCTGGCTATTGCCGGTTCCTGCTGAAGACTGTGTTTAAATTGTATAATTACACAGAGATCGCTTAGTGGTACATATAAATACCTATAATATAATATTCGATGCCATTATATTCAGTGCATATATCAGAGTTTTTAAAATTATTTATCCGCATTAATTGCGTAACAAACTGTATTACATTTTTCAGTTGGTTCTAGAACTTATAAACTTGTATCCAGAATGAATCCAGTTGTCTACCCCACTCTCTTCCAGACTTGAAATATATGTACTAGCAATCGTCATTTCCAGTTACACTTGTTGTAGACTTCATAGGATATAATGAAATAAACTTTTACATTTTTGAACATTCGGTGTTTTCTATAGACAGATATTTTTTATCACAGAATTATGTTCAGTATTTGATTGTTTTCATTTAGGGGATATTTGGAATTGGTTGAGTATCCCTTATCAAATTTAGTCATTCTCATTAGAAACGTCGCTCTGACTCAAGTTTTACAACTAGATTATTATTGACCAAACTGGCTCGTATTTTGACTTTGTAGCAACCATCTTAAGTATTTGGGATTGTCATATATCATATTTGTGTTTGTTGTTTAGATGTGCACTAATCAGGTTTTGTAACTAAACTATCCACCCAATCAACTGCGCACGTGCGTAAGCCATTTACCTTTCATTACTGCTGGATATAAGCTCAATGACTGGCTTATGTCAACAATGTACACTTAAAATAATTGAGAGAATTCCATTCATGATGAATGTATGCAAACAATCTATGTTTTTCTCTCGATATTTATCTACTGCTGGCAGCGTGAATATAAAGTAGCGCGAATTCTAACGTTGCTTATTGTTTTCACATCTGTCTTCAAAGTTCACTGATAGAATGTCGAAAAACCCAAGTGGGTGGTCAGTTATGAAAAAGGTAAACGCAAGTGCGACATTAGCGCAACTTTTGAAAGTGTCGCCTAAGTATTTCAGGTATGAAACTTCATTATTATCGAAACACCAACTGCTGAATATATATATATATATATATATATATATATATATATATATATATATTACATGCCTATGACATTTGTTGTTGGTTGTCGAATCTTCTTAACATATTGTGTACGTCTTAGTGTCTTTCAAGTCTACAACACCAACTGGTTTTTTTTCCAATATTTGTGAATTTTAGGCTAAATGTGATCAGAGTTGTAGAAGCACCGTTGACAAAATACTTCAAATATCATATTAAGCTGTTATACATCTGTTATGAAGCAAAACAAGAATATGTTGTGCATCGCGCAATGCCAGTTAGAAAGCGAATATATCAGTAATGCCCTATCTCACATATCAATGATTTCCAGTCGGAAACTTTACACTAACCACTAGTTTCAGTTATTGATCTACTGGCTAGTACCAATTATTTTATTTTAAATGCAGAAGCTGGTTAAAAATGCAGCTTCCAACAAAAAGAAGTAACCATGTCGTAAAGGTACGCAATAATAGAATTACTACCAAGCGGCAACAGTTTAAATACGTACAATTCCGAGTGGAATTTCAATGACATTATTACACTACACTTCGAAAGACTTCAATCTGATCAGTTTCCTTATTTCAGTCTATTTTCTTTTTCCGACCAATCTCAGGGAAACAGTCTATAGTTAAGTTTTATTGTAATTTAGCGTCTCAAATATTCTATGCTATATGCCGCTGAAACAAACGGGGAAAATAATAAAAGGGACCCATATTATTCTACTCCTACATTTGTTTTCACTCTTTTAAGTTGCTAAAGGAAAATGTGTATATGTATAAAAGGTCGTTTTCTTGATTAAATAAAGGACGAAGTGAAATTGTAAGTAGATAATAACCTGTATTTCATCCAGTGCAAAGGCACTCAGTAGAGTACAGAACGCAAGTTACTTATGTATGCTAATCGCTAATTGATTACTTGAGCTCTAATGAATTTGTTTTTTTAGTGAAGTATGGTAGTATTGGCCTGATATTTGTGTTTAAAATGTCTTTAGGTAACATATATTTACCGTCGTCATAGGAAAACCATCACAGAAGTTCTCAATGATTCAAGTTATGACAAGCAAGTAGTATTTAGCAAATAATCTTCAGATGGATGATTTTATCCCTAACGTACATTGTTAATTTTGTCAAGTATTCAGTAAATGGCTGTATTAGATATGGTCAAACGAGGTCCAGTTTTATTATTTTGCTGTTACTCGATTTCATTTATTTTAGTTAAGAGAAAGTGTTGTATTTAATTTTCTATTGATTAGATCCAGATCTTGTTTATGAGAAAATGGCAACAAATACCGATGGCTTTCATAATGCTCTTAGTCACTTTCCTCCTAATTATCGAGGTTCACTTGAATCTAATGACGCTGTGAAACCTGAACTATCTGGTTGGTAATTCATTTCTAAAGTGTTCTCTATTATCTAGGGAGAGTAATTCTTTTTTAACGTTTCTTATGAATCTTATTTAATAGTGTTTATATGTACAAAATGAATTTTGTTATTCTTATCACTTTTCTCGTTCTTCCCCACAAACAGTAACTAGTACTTTACACTAACCACTACTGAAATAGCTTTAAATACTTACAGTGTAAAGATCTATATTTATGACATGAGCTCCGGTTGTTGTCAGACATTGGTATCATTTGCTTGGAATTAGGGTTCCTGACTCCTCTAGGCGGATTCTCTGTATACATTATTCGGAGATATGCACCGTACATTCGCTTTCTCCTCTTCACGTCTCTGGGAACACCCCCGCCACGTAAAAGTAGTGAATAGGACTTCCTGGCAAAGCCTAGGAACACATACCAGGACATTTGGTGTTTGAAAATGATGGATGCGGATAATCGGAAACCGTTATGACGTGTCTGAAAATTGGTTATAATGGCCCAGGTGTATTCATTCTGTGGTGTCTTCGAAAGTTTGAACATTTCGCAAACATTCGTTTTTAAATGACTTCTTCCCTTATACACTTCTGTCTACTTTAAAATCAGTCTTTTGCTAATTTCCTGTTCTTTGCATGCTGTCTCGATGTGTGTCAACCTGAACGGATGTCTTTCTATGCGAAGTTCTACATTGATTTGTCAGCTTGTTAATCTTCCGTTGTGAGTGGTTTCATGCTTTCTCATCATTGGATAGTCCGGCTACTAATTATTGTATAAATGCAATTTTATAACGGCTCTCACTTTGTAATATTTTTGTTGCTGGGTTAGCGCTCACATCAACCCTGTTTCCCATTTCACATCTCTCTTGTGTACAGTAATATATAGATATATATATGACACTAAGCGTAATGCGCATTGAATATACTTTCTTTTTAGGTAAATTTCAAGTACTTGATTGCTTGTTGGCTGTGATCAAAGCAACCACATGTGATAAGGTGGTACTTATTTCAAACTATACTCAAACACTTGATCTTTTTGAACGTTTGTGCTGTCAAAGGGGGTAAGTTGTAAATAAGGGTTTCAATGGCCAATTTTCGCTGGTATCTTCCATTTATATTTCTTCTAAACACATGTATACAGGTTTCATATCATTTTCAAGGCTTACTACATACATTTCTCAGCTTGGTTTTCCAACTCTTGGCAAGATATTTACAGAAAAGGACAATGGGAAGAGAATCTAGGCATTAAATTGTTCGGTATCAAAAGTTCTGTATATGGTCTGTTTGTTGACCCTGCCTTTCAGTTTGCCTTGAATAAGGTATCTTATGACCGTCGATTTTGCTCTATGATTAACTTTAAGAACTCATGTTGCAATATGCCTTGTTTTCAGTTAGAATATGCCTATTGGTTAGTGATTTCAATCATTGTGAAGTACCAAGTTAAACGATTACTTTGCTTGTTTGTATTACATATAGCGGATATCACAACCACCATAGTTACAGCAATTTAATAATTTTATTCTCTAGCCTAAATCTTTGTAAACGATATAGTAGCATCTATTTTTATTCATTCCAGTGGATAACGTAGAGGCATGATAGTTAAACGAGAGCACATACATGCTATCTTCCATTTATCAAACGATGTGGGTGTAGATATATGTTGTATTGTCATTTAAACGTGGATAGTTTATCATATTTCGTGTTGGTAATAGCATATTTTGAGTGAAGACAACCCGGGTTCGAGTTGATTGCAGTTTCCTTGATGATAAACTAATTATCGCTAGTGGTGAGAGACTTTCGAGTATTTCCAGCTCTACCGAACGATATCTTACTTCATTAAGAATGCATAGGCTGGATTAACCAGTTCTCATAGCAGCGTTTTACCTCAGTTCTTGCTAAGAAGATGTCTACTGATAGAGATATGTCATCTTCCCTGTTCTCTTTCACCCTCAACAGCACAGTTCTTGAAGACTTGAAGGGACAGAAACTTCGTGTGGGTCACCAACAAAATATAATGACAGCAGTTAACAGCACTCATGGATAGTATTGATACTGATAAAGAAACATATACCTTCTTCCCTTCACTTCATCAGTTGATTACAGTTTGATCCTTTGAATGTTCCACACTGATGTTAAGGTCAAATGTCATGGAAAGCAGGTAACCAGTTACTAATTTGGGTGGTTTCAGTGGGGTTGTTTATTTTAAGCTGGGTAGTTTAATTGTTGGAGCCTTTGTTATAGTTACAGATGAAATATGCAGTGCAAACATCGTAAGCTATAAGGAATTTGGAACGGAGTCAATAGGAAAGCTTCTGTCTCCAAGAAACTTTCATCTGGTGTCAGCAGACATAAAACCGACAGTGGGCACAGACAGATGATACTACTATCAGCTATTATTGAAGAGGATCGGTGAGGATAGCCGCTTCTCCTGGAGTGGCTACTTAGGCTGCGATCACGAGTTAGCAGGGTCACGTGCACGTCTCTTTTAATGGTCGCTGGAAATAGACAAGAACGAAGCTTCTATGAACTCGGCTGAAAGATAATAACGCCAAGAGCCGCTTTAAAGAGGTAGCTAAACACTTATGTAAACATAGTGGTAAATTCTCCCTCCCCCTCACTAAAGTCTAACGTGTTATTCAGTCCGCTTTGTAAACAATGGTAAAGACAGTCGGTAACCTACATCCAAAGTTAACCACAGGCAGCGGATTTCCACAACCTCATCTGAAATAATTGATACGATTACATCCATGAAAAATTCATACGTTATGCAGAGAGTCAATTTGCATAAATATATATTTTAACGAATGTCTACACACAATGATGTTATTTAAGCTACTCACCCTCTCGAGCGATAACTGATAGCCCGGTGGGTTATATGTGTTCACCAGTGAGTTGGAGTTGGTGGACGTCATATCAGACAGTGTCTCTATATGCATCTGAAGTTTGCGCTGGCCTGAAAAAGATGGTATTCTAAGCACACTTGTAGTAGGCAATCGCCACTATCCGTTCGTTCGATCGGGATTCAAAGTGCCACCTAATTGCTTTCCCGTCTGACTAAACATGTCTACTTGTGCATTGAATTCACTTGTTACAACAACCACAATTGAGCGTTTGTCGTTCAGTGAGTGTATAAGCAGGGATCACAAATGGACTGCGGTGAGTTTCACTAATCTCTTTCGTCCTCAGTGCACCGTTCAGCGTGCAAGCGACTTTTAACTCGGATCTAATCGAACAGTGCACTTTCTGCCTTAGGACTTAATGCTATACCTACAACTTGATAAACTGTGAGAAATAAATATCGAACCTCTATAATCCTACCATTGACCAGATGATCTTTAGTGAATAACCGCACTTGGATCATGTGTGCACGTTTCACAAACACAACAGCTTTTCGACTAGCGAAACTTGTTGACGGATTTCACAAAGGGTGAGAGCTTTGAACGTCCCCTTTCGTAGTAGTTATCGTGTTTTGAGGAGACCAGTGATAGTACTAGAATCGTCATCAAGAACTATAGAGCTTGAAGTAATTCACGATGAAGTAAGAATATTCACCGAAATAAGTGAGGAAAGGTTAGAAGGTAAAGAAGTTGAAGGTTGATAATTACAATTTTCCAATCTGTACACCACTTCCACCTAATAGAGCATATTTTTCATCACACTGGAAGTATGTTTAAAATGTAAAAACTTGATATTCACCTGTTATGTCACTATAATAATGATCTGCAGTTATAACTTTTCGTGAATGCATGCGGTCTAAAGATGGTAAGCCACGTGTAGATGTCATCTACATAGATTTCAGTAAGGCGTCTGACGAGCTACCCCATTTCAAGTAGTCTGTGAAACTGAAAAGCTTTGGGTGGCGAAAGAAAGGGAGACGCATTAAGCATCATCTCTCGTTAATAACTATCAATTAATTAAGCTTCCTAAGTAATTCCACGAGATGACAATGGTTAGTGAAGCCAACTTCGAAATGGTTGGCTACCTGCTACAGTACAGATGGCGAGGACGTTGTGTGGAACACTGGATTAAAGGTCATGTGGCCCACAGCAATGTTTCAGTTGCTACGCCTCAAGACCAATCCTGAACGGAAAGTATCTACCCCTTCACTCAAATCTTCTCGAAGTTGCGAAGGCTATATCAAACCTGAAAAGATGCAAAACAGTACCTTACAGTTTCCCAGATTGGTCTGCTTCACTGATCATTCCAGTCTGTGAGAAGAGGGAAGAATCTTGTGACAATCATAGTCGGATTAGTCTAACCAATATTGCTTTCAAAATCTTAATGTCGATAGTTATGCGGTGCTTATCCGCAGCTCGAGAGTATCAGCCAGGATTCAGATCTGGTAAAGGGTGCATTCAACAGACGTTTGTTTGTCAAGAGGTCTCGAACCGCAAGCATACTTACCGGCGTCCGATACCTGCCATATTTCCTAGCCTGAAGGCTCCACTCGACTCTATCGGCTAACAAGTGTTGTATCAGTGCCTGTTTGCGAAGGTAGTGCCTGTGGAGAGTTTTCATCTGAGTTGATGACAACTAGTGGTATCGACTTGCAACACCCAGTATCAGCATTGTTGTTCTGCTTTGTTATAAATGTGTTAATCGACATAACCTAGTTCCTGGTTGACTTGGAGTAGGGAGACGATATTGTCCTGCTAAGTGAAGAGTTTGAGCAGAAATCCGAGTATTTTTGGCTGGTATACTTTTCCCACCTGTCAAATGTAAGATGATGTTCTAGGACTGTCTTCACCTACTCCTAGATTAAGGATAGGGAGTGAAGAGGTGGAATGTATCGACCACTTCACTTACTTTGTGAGTTGCATCAGTCGAAACGGACTAGTTATTGATCCGATCTCAGCTCAAATACAGAAAGCTTGTTTGGCGTTTATCACCTTGCGTCGTCTGTGGTGCTGACTGACGAGATATCCGACTACCTATCAAAGGACGAGTATACTACGCTTCAGCCCGTTTCGTCCTGTTACATACCTGTGAGACATTGCTGTTAAAAGTAGAAGACATGTAGGGATTAGAGGATTTTGATCGTAGATGTTTTCGTAGCATTGTTCGCGTGCGTTGGGATCACTATATGAGCAATGTCGAAGGTTACTAGACAAGACGATCAATGAGGTTGTAAACCTTAGTTGACTGAGATGGCTTGGGCATGTGCTGCCCATGCCGAGCCACCGCCTACCTTGACGTGCAATGTTAGAGGTAATTGGATAAAATTGGAAGAAGGTTCAGGGTGACCAGTAAACTACGTGGTACCAGTCAATAAGTCCCTGACTGTTGATATGAGCTGTGTTTTGGAGATGTGGACTGTCTGGTTGGTGCCCTCGAAATGAAAGGAGTCAATGGTTAAGGACTCTTGGTGACATGACTGATAATTTGATACAATGGCACAGATGCATTCACTTTTTGTGATCTGAAGTTTGAATGTTCGTAGTAACCTTTATCTTCAGACTTCTTATTCTATTGTACACCTTTCTGTACTTTATTATTCATCTTTTCTTATCCCTTTGTTCGTCGCTTGCTACTGCGAGGCGTGGCAACTTGTGCGTGGTTCCACATTAGTTTTTCTGTCATCTCACTGAGAATAGTGTCGATCAAGTGCACCAACTCGTTAAAGACTCAGTCTTTGAGTATTTTTGGTTTTGTTAAACCTTATGGTGAGTTGTGTCCGTTGAGAGTGTCTCATCTCTCTTTTCTTATTCAGCTTTATCATAGACATACTCATGGTCGTCTTCTCATACTTTGGAATTCTAGGGATTGGCCTTGTCACAGAGGAGTCCATGGTAGATCTGACGTCCGTAAATGACATAGTCCTCTTTGGCGAAGACACTGAAAATTTCAAAATCTAGAAATCTCGATTTGGAATTTGAAAATGTTTGGGATGCGTTTCTCATCAACTAAATGTTGTTTTTTGCCACACAGTAGTGACCTGTGTTGGTGCCGCGTCCCAATAGAAAATGAAATGGTTGATTGTGTTGACCTCTTTTCTTACCTGGGAAGTTGGATCAACCCTGGTGGATCAGTGACCGACAAAATCCCTGCACGGATACGAAAG